GTGACCCTTGTAAGCACCTGGGGGGCCATGCCCCATGATTTGGGGTGTGTATGGCCCACTACTACTGGGTTTCCCTTCCCTCCAGCCACTGATGTGCCAGGTCCCGGCCAGGGAGGGGAAGTCCAGCCAGACATCTTCCCCACAGACCAGCCACCCTAACCCATGGAGGACAGGTGACCCCCAAGAGTACTGAACCTCAGTGCCACTCTGTAGGCCTCTGGATCAAGGGTGGGCAAGAAGTGCCCCCTCTCCCTGCTGGATGCACTGTAGCGCTGCCAACCCTGGATCCACGCCCCACCCTAAGCTGCTTCCCTGGCCCTCCCTGCACCTGCGACCAAAGCTTTGCTGGGAGTGGGGTAAGGAGTGGAGGTCCAGAAGGGCCTGGGGCTTCTGTGGGAGTGGGATTGGGCTGTCCCAGGGAGAGTGGGAAATGGGATCCCATTTGAGTCGAGGCTTCAAGTCCCCGACACAGGCTCCACTGTGCCATTGGACTTCACTTACAAAACACAAATGCGAAGACACAGCTAGTGAGAGCTTCAAGACGGTGGCTGCAGAGTCTTAAACCCCAAGGAGCTGAGGCCCAACAGGGCCACGTGGGCTCAGGCCGCGCAGCTGGCCCTGACTCTGACCCCAGGTCCTCTAAAGGCTCGTACGTGTCTATAGTGAACGGGGATGGAGATGGTGTCCCCAGGGCTGCTTTCCAGACCCTGTTGGTGTGAACCCCCTGCGCCCGGAGCTGGGTTGCTTTCTATGCTGTGGCTTTTTGCACAGTGACAGCAATCCCTTCTCCCCCCTCACCCTTTTCGTTGTTTTTCTGGAAGTGTGCCTTTGTGTCCTCACAGTTGGTGGGTGGAAGCTCTTGGTGGGGGCAGGCGGGGCTGTGGGAGATTCCAGGGCAGGGCCCCTTCCCAGGAGGGCTCCGGGTGGTCTCTGTGTTCGCCAGGAGGGCAGACCCTATCCCTGTCCAAGCCTTTTTTCGCTTTTCTTGAAGAACTACAGAAGTAGACATACAAGGAAGTTACACTTGTCCCTTACTCTGAATTTCCCCACTGCTCCCCAGCTGAAGTGGACTTCCCAGCCCAACCTGCTCTCGAGTGACAGAGGTCCCTGTTGGCTCCTCTGTTTGAGCCCCGCCTAAGGAGGAGGTGACATTTCTCTCTGGGACCCATCAGGGCTCAGTTACTGAGAACTCGATCCCAAGCCTCAGGCACAGTGTGGACCCTGAAGAAGCAAAGAAGATCAGGGAGGGCTTCACAGGGGAGGTGCCCTTGAACTGGACTTGAGGGATGAGGAAGAGTTCTGCCGGGTGCACAAGGGGGAGGAGGTGGTTGCAGAAGGAGGAAAATGGGCTGCCAAGGGTAGTGGGTAAGGGAGTGCTGTGAAGGGTAAGGAATGCTGGGACCAGGAGTTTAGAAAGATGGGTGGGAAGCTCCAGGCCCAGAGGTCCAAGTGAGGGTGGAGGAAGGGGAGCTTTGGGATCCTGGAGCCCAGGAACACTCAGCACAGTGGCTGCCCCTGAGGCCCTGTGAGCAGGAGGCAGCACTTTCTGAAATAGATGGTGGGCGGGGTGTGTGGGGAGGGCCATGAGGGGGGTGCAGTTCTCTAGGCCTGGAAGGGGGAGGGGCCCACGTGGGGCGGGTCCTCCCTGAGCTCTGTGGGGACCGGCTGGTGGGCCGGTCTAGGGCTTCATGACCAGTGCCCGGGAAGGCGGGGGCCCCACTGCCCAGTGGGAAGGGCCTTGTTTCTCAGTTGCACCTGCCATTTGGGGATGGATAGGGCTAAGGAGGAAGCTGTCTCCACAAAGGTCTTGGGTGACGAGGGTGCTGTTAGGGGTGCGGGGGAAGGGGTCCCATTAAGGCTCCAAAGGGGGACCAGCCCTTGGCCC